CTGACTTTAAAGCTGGATCCGCCCCTGATTGAGATAACATTTTAGGCGAAACGTTGCGTCTTCGAACGATCAAATGAAACAATATGTATCAGATTGTACATTTTCAGTTTCGAATTTGTAAACTTTGATACTAAACTATTGAAAAAACAATCATAAAATTCTTTTTATGCATCAAGCAACAGTGTTTGTAACCGCTCTTTTGTTAGTCCCCAGTCGCGGCTACAAAAGCAAATATAAATATGCATGAAACGGACGTATTGCAAAATAAATGTGCAATTTGGCCAGCCATTATTGCACTTAATCTATTTAATAATATTTTATACTTTCATTTTCCTGCTCTCCCTCTCTCTCTGTCGGTGTGACGCAACTGTTTTATTTCACGGTTCGATAATAACATTTTGAATGTTACAGTTTGTTGTCGTCAATTATTCTTCGTTAGGCGGTTGTTGTAAACGGACCTTAATTGAAAGGTAAGGAAAAATGCGGAAACGGAACTGTTTGTGTTAACTTCCTTTAGCGCGTTTCCTGTCCAAAGCGATTTGTTTGGGCGATTTCAGTCGACTTGAGGTTTCGTAGAAATCAGTTTAATCGAGAGATCATGCAATTGAACCAAACGGTCATTTAAAAATTACCGATTCAGGTCAACGTGCCGGATGTTTATCCATCTCTCTATATTGGTTTGAGCTAGTTTAGTCTATTTAGTTTCCGTCCGAAGAGATTTAACATCCAGCGAACTCTTTTTGTACTTGTAGAACTCTTCTGGAGGACTTTTACTTTTTTTAATCGGATATTTTTTCACGGTTTTTGCATTATCCAGTTTAGTTCTGTTCTGTTTTACTAATTACCAAAGCGATTTCTGCTTCAGGAGTATTTTTGCGGTAATTTGTAGCAAAATCTGCAAAATAAACAAATTTTCCTTGGGGTTATTTTTCGTGTGGTGCAATTTCTGCAGTTTATTACCAGTTGAAGATTTAAATTCGTTGTTTTAAAAGATTGCGTAGTTCAAAAATTAAACAAGCATTTTAACAAAAAAAAACAACATTTTCATTTGAATTTGAAGGAATTTGAGGATTCGAAAAATTAGATTTTAGTTCTGTCGTTTATGCCCGACAAAATTTCATTTTTAGTGAAACTTCCTATGTGTTTTTTGTGAAAATTTAGGTTTCCACCGCTGTTGTTTAAAACTGTCGAGTGACGTGAAAAATAATTTGTTGCTGACGTTTCGCAAGCACGTGTGGCATGCATCTTCAGAGGTGGTTTGACCCCAATAGACCTAAAAGTCTGAAAAACTCCCCAGTTGTGTGTTTCTTCGTCGGCTATTCAACTGTAACTGAGCAAAATACAGCAAATATTGCACTTGGAGGACATTTTCCATTCTAATCCTCCACCAGAAACGCAACTAATAACATAACTAAGCGTGAAAGTCCCGATTATTTCCCCGTGAATAAACTTTATTACTTGCTTTGCAATGTAATATAATTAGGGTCGTTAGAATATCCGAAAGCGAAGATTCCGACTCATTGTTTGAAAGCAGATTTGAACTAGTAATAATAACCTATTGAGTCAGGTAAATGCAATTATTGCAGTTCAGATAAAGCGTGGTCCATGCATTTGCATAATTGCGGTAAACCAAGGCGCCAATCTGTATTGTGATCTAAATTAGTTTAATGCTTTTGTTTGAGATTTCCTTGCGTAATCACTTCAGTCTGTCCTAATCGTCAGACAAAATTTTTGGAACAGATAAGCTTTGTCTTGACCTTAATTAGCACTGTGATTAACAGTGAACTGGGCGATTATTTAACAGTGATAGAAATAAACGAGTGTTTAAATATCTGGTAAAAAGCGCAAGAAAATTTTAATTATTGTTATAAAAGTGAAGGCCTGATAATTGCGAAGAAACCGCGAACAGCTGAACGAGAACATACGCGATTTAATTACGAATTCTAATTAAATTCTCAGCTTGTCTTCACGTACATTACTTGATCGCCCATCCATTTGTTTCTTCCGTGCTGTCTGAGTTTCGGCTTATTGAATTATATTGTGGAAACAAGCCTTAATGGGATAAAAGCCGGCTTTGTATGTGAAAGTGGTTCTTTCAGTGTAATTGAGCCAACATACGGGTTTACACGCGCAAATACCGTATCCAGGTTGGGGACATTGTTTTGAAGCAAAAAAGGCTTTGAAATATAGAATGTCCCGCAAAATATGGACATGCTTTCGGGACATATACAGGGCTCCCGAACAACTAAATTGCTATAAAAAATTGGGCAGTCCCGCCCCAGCAAGGTTAGGTATATTGTTAGCCCCTAAAATTCCGATAAAAATACAATCATTTTTTTAATGAAATATCTTTTAAAATGCTTGAAGTAATTTGAAGTTTTTAAATGAAAATACTAGGCAAAGGCTCTTAAAATAGCGTCTTTGAAACTCATTTCTTGTCTGAGTCTTCTTGTCCAGGAACCGACCAGCTTGTATACAAATGCTCATATTTTTAACACCCTGTATGGTAAAGGTACCATAATCCGATTTTCAAATAGCTTGAAGCTTGCATTACAAAAAAGGTGCTCTTGTTTGACTTCGATAAAATGAACCATTTTCAAGAAAAATACGATTCTCTTTTTTAAGCTTACATCTTGGTAGGGCGGCGCTGGAGAATTTTTTATAGAAACTTGTCATGTTATTTTGTCAACCTGTATACAGGGTTTTACACTGACACTTATGTATTGACTTCCATAGCCACCTTATAAAATGTAACAACTTTTTGAAATTTTTAAATGAAATAAATTATAATTGGAAAACGGTTGATTTCACAGCTTAAAGTGTGAATGCAAATTTGATATTTTTTAACTAAGATATGTACCAAGTTTTTAAGCAAATTTTTACTAAAATGGCGATAATCGGCCAACGTCGCAAGTAAGAAAAAAACAATTTACGGTGCATATGCAGCATTTTAAGATGCATTCTATGAGTTAATGAAAAATGAGTAGTTCTACCTAAAAATATACACTTTGATCTTGCCTCGCTTTTCTGAGACACTCTGTATCATATAAGATATTTTTAAAATGTGCGCACTTTGTGCGTCAACAACTTTTATACGAAACAATTTTTCGAAAGTTCAACACCATCGGAAATAATGGATTCTATCGCACTAAAAAACCAAGCTGTATGTATACCCAAAAACATGTTTAATGAAAAAAGTTGCAGTTGCTTCACAATTTATTGCCTAAATTGCCCAATAATTGGGCCAAGCGTTGACTTGGCAAGGAATTTGCATTGCAATCCCACAAGTTTTTCTCGATCGAGCAAACTCCAATCGCATTAATAGATTTATCAAAGTCCGAAAATTGTGTTTTTCCACTGCAAAAAGTTAATTTTTGTCGGCCACAACGAGTGTGATTTGAAGCAGCAGATGAGACAACTCGAAAACCTTCACCTGGTAAATAATCAATCCACCCAGAACCTTGATTTAATCAAACTTGAATAAATTATTGGAATATTTTTCCAGTTATCACCCACGTGGTGTGATTTTGGCGCACTTTAGAGCTATTACGACTGAGCTCATCTTATGCGTATATGTTGAATAAACGAGCGTTATTTTCGGTACGGCCTTCATTCTATTACGACGGCTACAACGATGATGCAAACCAGGTTTTATTTTTCGCTTTTCGCTTTGCAACATGTTGGAATTGCAGTAATTAGCTGCGGCTACCCAAATTGCCAGCCAATTTCAAATGGTTCTAATGGAGAAGCTGTTGCGATTCTGAGCGCAATATTTCGCTCGAAATTGCCAATAAACGGTGCCATTTCAGTTTTTCGGTGACGCTATAAATGTTTTCTAATTGTATTATCCACCTTTAAATACCTAAGCGAGCGATTGGATGATGAATTTGCGTTGATTGAGTCCCTTCGTGTCCACTGTGTACTTTTTTAAAGCCAATTTTATTAAGAAAAGTTGCTTTTGTTCCTTCCAACAAAGCATTTTGCGATTGTGTCCAATTCTTATCAAAAGTACAAAAACAAACACGCGAAGATAACGCCGATCCCAAATATTTGCTTTGTCCATGTTCATTGTTTTTGTAGTTCCACCCAAAACGCCATGCCCTCTCTACTAGAAGCCCTGGAACAGAAGTATGGCGAAGCGGACTCAGATGCGAGTCCAGACGAAGCCTCAGAGGGCATTTCAGTCGCAATTTTCGTGCCTTGCAAGTGCGTATTTTTGTGCAAATACATGTGAAAGTTACTTAATTCTTGTATTCGCCTAGATCGCCCAGAGCGCTGGTGCCTGCGCTCCTGGTGCTGAACGATTGTGATATTGCAACCGCGGGCGAAAAAGACGCCCTAGTGGCGAAATGCTCCAATGTGGAAGAATTGGATTTGGCCAAGAACAAGCTGGACCAATGGACAGAAGTAAGCGACCATCTCAATCATTAATCCTTTCAGAGCATGACTTTCAAATAAAAGTTTCCATTAATTTTGAAAACACGTTATTTTTTAGGTTTTTGGAATACTCGAGCATATGCCCCGTTTGAAGTTCGTGAATCTCAGCTTCAACGTTCTGTCCAGTCCCATCGAAGTCAGTCTGGACAAGCGATGGGAAGAGCTGCGAAATCTGGTGCTAAACTCCACCTATGTGAACTGGGAGAGTGTGAGGAAGATCCTGGAACATTTGCCCAGCCTGGAGGAATTGCACTTAAGTCTGAACGATTACAACAATGTGGCCTTACACAACACCTCATCAAGCTGCGCTTGTACTGAGAACAAGAACGATAACTGCGAGTGCCACAGCAGCGCTTTGGAAAAGAAGCATTCGGTTATAAGGATTCTTCATTTCACTGGGAATCTGGTGCAGGATTGGAAAGAGGTTTCCAAATTAGGTTGGCTTCAGAATATTGTCTAGGACTGTGAGTGTTTAATTTTTGCTGATTTCCAGGATATGCTTTTCCCAATTTGGAGTCCCTGGTAGTGGCCGAATGTCCCATCAAGTCCCTGGATATTGCGGCCGAAGCGAAGGAATGCCCCAATAAGAACTACGAAAGATCTGAGAGCAGCCCGGAATCGAGCAGTAGATCGGAATCGCCTCATGATGCGTTCCGATCGCTCAAAATTCTCAACCTGAATTCAACCCATTTGTCTTCCTGGGATGAAATTGAACGACTTGCGAGGTTCCCAGCCTTACAGTGCGTCCGGCTACAGGTAAAACAGGATCTTTATCGCCGAAAGAACTTGAGCGCAAAAAAATCCAATTAACATTTCAATGGAGATGGTGATGGTTTGATTTAGATTCGCGTTTAGAAACTTAATGGTAATTAAGTGCGAAGGCGTGATGTGCGGAATTGGCTCAAAGGTGAAGGATTCTTCGCTTAAATTGATAATGCGTCGCCTCCGCGTGTTTTTCAATTCAACTGTACATAAAAATAGTTTGATATTTTAAAAAAATCAATCGTTTGATCTTCAGGGCTGTCCGCTTGGGGAAGGAAACGAATACACTGAACACGAAAGGCGTCAGCTCCTAATAGCTCGACTACCCAACGTGAAAACCCTCAATGGAGGAGGAGTTATCTCAGCAGAAGAAAGGGAGGACGCCGAAAGGGCCTTTATCAGATACTACATGGATAAGCCGGAGAGTGACCGGCCGGAAAGGTACTTTGACCAACTCAAGACGACCTGAGCATAATTCTGCCTCCTTCCAGATACTTCGAATTGGTTCAAATACACGGCAAGTTAGATCCCTTGGTGAACGTCGACTTGAGGCCAGAGAAACGTGTGAAGATCACGTTCACATGTGGCTCCAACAGTGAGGTGAAGTCGGTCGACACCTACCGCACGGTTAGCGACTTGAAAACGCGCCTGGAAACATTCGCCGGCTTTCCTGCTTCCAAAATGCGTCTGTTCTATGTGGACCAGGACTTGAGAGATATTCAGGTATAGAAATGGAGGATCCCGGATTTTCCGCTAAGGTCGTAAAACTGTTTGTGTTTCTAGGGCCCGGAACTGATGCGGTTTGCTTCCAAGCAGCTGTTCAGCTACAACATTCGGTCAGGCGATGAAATCATCATCGTCTGCAAAATGGAGAACAAGAGAAGAACCCACAGCGAATCCAAGTAAATATCTTTATTTCGTCAGTTTTATGGTCCAAAATGTCTCGCTTAGAATTTTTTTAATTGAAAATTTCATTCAGTAAACTTTCTTACTGTGGTTGAATCATCTGAAGTCAAGTGCGTTTTTATAATAAATGAATAGCATATCGGGTTCATTCTTGATGTTGCTAATGCAGGATTTTTGTTAGCATTACAGAAAAACAAGAGAGGGCGATGTACAACCTCTAGCTGCTTGAAGCCGCTTGGTAAATTAACAGCACACCAACCCTAAAACTAAAAAGCTAATACTATTTTATCTAACGAACGTATGTTTTATAAGCAGCTAATAAAAACATAAAATAATAATAGTATTTATATATGTATGTCTATTGAAAGGCGGAGATTCCTCGATCATTGTAAGGACGTTAATCGAACTATTCTAAACTAAATTTGGTTCCTTTTAATATTTGTTAGATGCACAAAAATCTATTGTGTATACTTAGTATTACGGGGTCTTGACAGAGCGTTCTCATAAAAGTTAATTGAAAAATCTTGGTATTTTACTGTGATTAATATGAGCTACTCAGCAACTGTATTATTTATATTTTAGACTTAGGACGATAATTTAGTAACATGTGTGATATTTCTGCCAACAAACGAAACTTTTTGGCGCAAATAAAACTGCCTTGTAGTTTGATTCTTTCGAAAGCAGATTTTATATACTCACTAATCCCTTCATGGTGTAGCAGATATTTTAAGGAGAACGTTACACATATTTTCAACTGGGTTTTTTTGCTGGAAACTGGAAACTGATTTTTTTGCCATTATACGATATGAGTTTGATAAAAGATAACACAAGATCTAACGCCAATAAGCCATCAACTAAATTTAACAGCATTGTATTAGTTGTGTTCCATTCTTCCCATTTTTTCCAGTGACTTAGTTTCTAAATTCCTAGCTTTAAGGTATGGTGTTAGTTGGGGGCCCAGATGCCCAGTTTTGTGATAAACAACTCCATTAAGTCTTTAGTTATAGTTCATACTATGTTTATTGAAAAACAACAAAACCGTTAACTAACACAGTGTGGGGATTTAGATTTGCCTTAAAAACTTGAGTTTTCGATGAAAGAAAATGGATGGATGGAAAAAACGATTCAATCATGTACAAAAAAATAGATATTTTTTTTTCTTTTGATTTGCTTTAAAATCTTGTAAACTGCACGGACTTGCAGGGGGAGCAATAGATTTTCGGAAAACACAGCCATTAATATTTTATTTCAGAAAACATGAGTTCCGTCTTCTTATTTTCTATCCCGCAACACATTCTTGATGTTAAGACGATACGAATCTCCCTTCAGCTTATAGTTGCAAAATATGTAAAACGAATTTATTAGGGCTTATTTTCAATTCTCTATA